AATTCTGCCAAGACATATTTCAGAGTGTTGATTGGTGCCAGTTTTTGCTTTATTTTTGGAAAATGTTCTTCACACCTGGGTCTTGAAAGACCCACAGACCCGGAGCAGCGTGAGCTGAGCTGCCTCACACAAGGTGAGAATTGAAATGGCTCAATTAATGTCGTGAACATTGTGAGGAGGAGGAGGAGGAAAAGAAAGCCAACAGGTTACCAGTGGCCACTTTCAAGATGCCTTTTAAAGTTCTTAAGTAAAAAGAAGCCCCTCGTACCAGCCTGCTGCCACCAACATTCTCCTCCTTTGGATTGGAGTCAACTGCTGACCCATCAGTTGGAGCATGGGCTGAAGGATGTTTCTAATGATCCTTTTGGAATTGGGCTCAAATCCACTGCCCTGAAACAGCTCCAGAAAATGAAGGGAATCACTTAAATTCCCAAGGGCTACTCTGGTTTGGGGAAATCATCTCCGCAGTTGTAGAGCTTTTTTTTTAACATGGTCTATGTGGCAAACAGTTTCCTGCTTCTCTCTGATGTAATTGAGCATGGGCTGAAGGATGTTTCTAATGATCCTTTTGGAATTGGGCTCAAATCCACTGCCCTGAAACAGCTCCAGAAAATGAAGGGAATCACTTAAATTCCCAAGGGCTACTCTGGTTTGGGGAAATCAACTCTGCAAGTTGTAGGGCTTTTTTTTTTAACATGGTCTATGTGGGAAACAGTTTCCTGCTTCTCTCTGATGTAATTCTGCCAAGACATATTTCAGAGTGTTGATTGGTGCCAGTTTTTGCTTTATTTTTGGAAAATGTTCTTCACACCTGGGTCTTGAAAGACCCACAGACCCGGAGCAGCGTGAGCTGAGCTGCCTCACACAAGGTGAGAATTGAAATGGCTCAATTAATGTCGTGAACATTGTGAGGAGGAGGAGGAAAAGAAAGCCAACAGGTTACCAGTGGCCACTTTCAAGATGCCTTTTAAAGTTCTTAAGTAAAAAGAAGCCCCAAACCCACAACATTGACAACACAGAGGGCTTTATTTGCGCTTACTTGAAGGTCATTAATTCCCCTGGGTTCTTCTATGTCCCTGAACATTAAAACCCTTTGTATTTTTAGATGGATGTAGTGGGGCTTTGGAACTGCTCTCCAAAATTAGATCCATCATTTTCCCGAATCTTATTTCTAGTTGCAAATTAGCAGTTTTCAAAGACTGGACAATGTTGTGCCTAATGAAAAAGAAAATCAAACATAGCAAAATGCATGACAAAGTTTTTAAAATTCAAATTACTGTTTTTTTAGTACAAGAATGACATGGACCTATTAGAGCAGGTCCAGAGGAGGGCTATGAAAAGGGTATGAAAATGGTCAGAGGGCCAGAGCACCTCTCCTGTGTAGAAAGGCTGAGAGAATTGGCATTGTTCCACCTGGAGAAGAGAAGGCTACAGGGAGACCTTATTGAAGCCTTTCAATATATAAAGGAAGACTCTTTAGCAAGGCTTGTAGTAAAAGGATATTGGGCAACAGTTTTAAATTGAAAGACGTTAGATTTAGACAGAATATAAGGAAGAAATTTCTTACAATGAGGGTTGTGAGACCCTGGGACAGGTTGCCCAAAGAAATTGTGGATGTTCCATCATTGGAAATGCTCTAAGTCGGGTGGGAAAGGGTTTTGAGCAGCCTGATCTAGTGAAGAGATAAATGGTGTCTTCCTGAATCTCAGCTCAAAGAAGGAAGTAAAGCTCAGTAGTAAAAAGAAGCAAATCTTAACAATATGATTGAGAACACTCCCCCAAGCTTTAAAGGTGTAGTTCTTGTGCAGGAAATGTGTGAGAAAAAAAAAAATTAAATAAAATCTAGAAAACAAATTAAAAGGTCACTGAGAAACAGGGAGGAATATTAGGGTGAAAGGCTTGTTCTCACTTGCAGGGACAACATGTTCAGTGCTTGACACAGTTTGCTGCATAACAAGGCCAGCAGCAAAGAAACGTCCTTCTCAATCACAGCAGAGGCTGAAGGTGCCTGGCAAAGTCTGTGTCAAAACGTTACTTGGGATTGTCAGACAGGGCAGGGCTTTTTGCTTTACGTGCAAACTTTTTATATAGCACGAGGAGAATGCAAAAAATCATAGCACTGGCTGGGCATTCCTTGATTATAAGGAGATCAGGGTTTATCTACATGTGGAAATGTGTGTGGGTCCTTTGGGCTCTTGGCAGCATTACTCAGTGACAGGCAAAAGGCAAGAAATTTCTCTTTGAAAAAAGTATCCCACTTTTTCAATTAAAATTCTCAAAATGTTGTTGGTAATTCTGTCAACTCCGCTTTTAATCTTAGAGCTGAGCACCAGTTCTCTTTTCAATAGTAATTTCAAGAATGATTCTTTACATTTACTCTAGGAGCTTCTCTCCCATCACGGCACATTCCAGTATCATAGTCTCTCTCGTCCTGGCAATAAGCCAATACAGCATATTTTGCAGCTTTTCCATCTCATTTCCTTAACTTTGCATCAGTTTTTTTCATAGGAGCTGGGAACAAAAACCTCAGTCATCTTCCATCAAAATTCCACTCAAGAATACAATGGAAATTCAGCTACCAGGCACTGCATCATGTCCATACACTGGCATTAAGCTAGTTCTGAAGATGATGTACTGTGTATTGTGTAAGCTTCCCAAAATATATGTCAAGCTGTTTCTAAATTTCCTTGGGGATCCTTCTGTTATCACTAGGTCATTCATTAGGTTGTAAGGAAAAGACTTGTATAACAAAATTGGACATAAAGAATAAGTGCTGAAAGTTGCAACATCTATTAATGCTTTTGCTGAAAACTTTGTAGAAAGAGGTCTTTTTCTTTCTTTTTTTTTTTTTTTTCTTTTTGCAAAGCAAGAGAAGTTGTTCAGATGGAAGGAATGCTACTAAAATAGACTTTGGGAAATGCAGACTGATTAATGGACCAAGGCGCAAAATCCTTGGGTCAATACAGAGACCACTCAAGAAGAGGGCCACAAATGGAATTCTAGACAAGATGGAAAATCAAATGAGAAATTTCAAGAACAGTGTCTATGAAAAAAAGTAGCTGATAAATCACATTGTCTGTTTTTTAATCTGACCATATTTCTGTTAGTCAGTTCATTTCTATTAAAGGCATGGACCTCAGGGTAAATCAGAAGCAGCTCCATCCATCTCACTAGAGTAACATCATTGTAAAATTGGTCTGAAATTTGAATCATATTCAATATCTGCTGGGTAAGCATTAATCAGTTCTTACCACTATCTTTTTTGTGCAAAACAACACCTCATCTGCCATTTCTGGTAACACCATTGCTAAGGGACACTTCAGTTTTGCTTTGCTAAGCCTCTAACAGAAATTCAGAAAAAGGTACTGGCAAAGGCAGGACAGAAAAAGTCTGGGTGATGAAAGGGGCAGAACATCCCTCGAGAAATGTCCCTATTCAGGTTTTTGAAATATCACTCTAAATAAATTATGATGTCAGAGTAGACAATAAGGCAGAGTGAGTAGAGGTGGCAAGAGGTTTGATCTCTTTTTTTCCCCAAACATTATTAATAATTTTAAAAGAGGAGTAAACAGCCCTTTCACTGCTTGGAAATACCATATCATCGCTGCTAACGTTGGGGAGGCTTCAGAGCTCCCACAGCAAATAATGTGAGTGTATAACTAGTTTATCAAAAGTTATAGCTCAGCTTTAATACACTGCTTGCTATAACTAGGGTTAGAGCTGTAAAAGCACCGAGGTATGGGCACACATAGGGAGGCATAATCACTTTTACAGACTAGTTTAAACTTATTCTCCTGAATTTGTTGTTTGAAGCCTAACTCCAATACTCTTCTAAAGTTCAGTTGACACCTTTAGCTCTACCTTCTTTTAACACCTGGGTGCCTAAATAACTTTTGTGGGTAGATTCACTGATCTGCAATGCTTGGCAACTGTTGAATTTTTACTTCTACTCTGCCATCACTCATGACTTTGAACCAGCACTGTAGAGAGGTTGGTGCTGGTCTCTTCTCACAGGTCATTAACAATAGAACGAGAGGGAATGGCTTCAAGCTCCAACAGGGGAGGTTTAGATTGAACATTAGGAAGGAATTTTTCACCCAAAGAGTGGTTGGGCATTGGAACAGGCTGCCCAGGGAGGGGGTGGAGTCCCCATCCCTGGCTGTGTTTAAGGGCCGTTTAGATGCGGTACTGAGGGACATGGTGTAGGGGAGGACTTTGTAGAGTAGGGGAGATGGTTGGACTCCCGTGACTTTGAACATCCAGCCGTAACCCAGACTGAGAGTCCAACCACCAAGCAAAGCTCATTGCTTTCCAAACCCCCAGTCTGGGGAGCCTTCGCTTCCCCCCGGGCTGCTGTCTGCAGAGACACCTTCCCAGCAGCACCATCCTCTCGTTGAGTCGCCTTCATGGAGATTGAAAGATTGTTTTAGCTGTAACTCAGACTGAGAGTCCAACCACCAAGCAAAGCTCATTGCTTTCCAAACCCCCAGTCTGGGGAGCCTTCGCTTCCCCCCGGGCTGCTGTCTGCAGAGACACCTTCCCAGCAGCACCATCCTCTCGTTGAGTCGCCTTCATGGAGATTGAAAGATTGTTTTTGTCCCCAGAACTGACAACTCTGACCTGCAGGGAGCGGTGACAGGATTAGCAGGTGACTTCCCAGAGACCTTTGGTTTCCGATAATTTCTGTGTCTGCCCATGCTATTAGATTTAGAAGGTAAAGCAATTCTCAAGGAGGTTTAATTCTATTTAATGAATAAAAGATCTGATTTCGTAGTGAATGAGGCCATTCATAGCAAGTTACTAGATTAAAATAGAAGATAATATGGCTTAAGCAAAGGCACGCACTTCGGCTTCCACTAGCATTTCCAAGAAAGATCTTTATTTTTTCTGCTCCTTCATGTAGATTATAAATAAATACTGAAGGGCTGAAGAGCTGTCAGGAAAGGCAATGGGAGTTTGCAAAGACAGTGACTTTTTGGCTAATCTTGTATCAAATCAGTGGCTCACAAGCTAATTTGATTTGATTCTTGATAAAGTTCCAGGAGGTGAAACTCTCCTGTTCACAGTTCAACTCTATCCCTTACGGAGCAATGGCTCCTGCCCAAGAACAATACACCTGTATCACCAATGAAACAAAAGCACTGACAGGTGAGTCAAGTTACATGGACCCAAACTCAATTTTGTTTAACATAATAGAAATTAGATGAAAAATATGTTAATTCCTGTTGCTAAGAGGATCTTCTCTTGTTTAATCTCATCGCTCCTGGTTCTACCGTAAGGCACCAATGAAATAGCCCTTCTGGTAACACTCAAGTGACACCAGCAGCCCGTTATCCCTTCCCTGTAGGAGAATTTAATTCAAACTATGCAACTTAAGCTATACCAATCATTTTCATTTCATCCAGTGACATGATCTTGGCTTTTGTTGCTTGTCTCTTGATTCTTGTCCTCTGTTGCACTCATACTTAGCATCTTTCAGGTGGTATGCCATGCAGCGATGGCAACCAGATGCTTTGGGCCATGACACCAGAGCTGCATTGAAGAGGAGGGTTCCTGTCCTGCTCCAAGTTACACTGGAGCAATTGTAATTGTTTTGCCCCAACACCACATTGAAAACTTGCATTTAAGAAGCACGTGGAGAAGAATGACCATGTTAAACCAAATTATTAACACTTAATTCACTACCTGCTCTGTGGCAGTGGTCAATATTGAGGCCATGATTGTCATCTTTGGGTAACCTACCTGGTGTCTGGGTGTGTAACCACACAGCTCTGCCAGCTTCACAAAGTCTCCCTCCCCTTGTGTAATATTGTTCTTATCGTGATGAAGATGTGGGTGCTCCAGATTTTCACAGGCTGCCTATTCTCATTTAGTATGTGTCTTGTTTTCAGCAGCATGTCTTTCTGTGGCAATGATCTCATGCAGTTGAGAAGGTCCAGAAGGGAGAACGCTAACATCTACTGCCTCAGTTGCCCACAGCTCTTCTCAGATCCCCAGCCAAACCAGAATCAACCTTGAGGGAGCTTCAGGAAATGTGAAATTGGATTTTTGACCTCACCCAGCTGTGCAGAGTCACTAACAACCTCTGTGTGTGGAGGTGGCCCACAGCCTTCATAGTCAGGCTACTGCTCCTTCATCTGGTCATCTCTTAATGCTTTTCATGGTTCTAAGGTATTGCTTGCCTACAACAAGCTGATTGGACCTTATCAACTAATGTTCTGTGTGCTTTTATCTCTGGCCTTCTATTTTTATTTCAGTCAACACAGACACAAGGCAATTATCCCAACAATGCATTTTGATTATGGGTATAGCCTTCAGGCAGCATCTCTTCAGCCCTCAGGTCACTTGGCTGCAAGGCTCCTACAGAAATGCTCCTTTCCAGTTTCATCCCCACCATTTCTCATCTCTCTCTGCAAAGTTCCTCAAATTATTGACGAGGGATAAATAAAAGGTTTTGTGTAAAAGGAAGATAACATTCTGCATAAAGTCAATTCCAATATTCTTCCTTACGTGCAGAACTAAATAAGAATATGCTTAAGCTTTTTGTTGTCCAACAGATCAAGTCTAATTCTCTTAACGCACTGTTTTGCTATAATTTGTATCAGATGAGCAAGACCAGCCTAGGGCACCAGACAGCTCTCGGCCTGTCCAGGCGAGGGAAGGAGGAATATCCAATGTTATTCTTCATTTCCTGCCCATAGAACCATTTTATCTCAACAAGAGCTCAAAATTATTTTCATTTAATCAGATTTCCAAAACACATTTTTTATGTATTTCTTCCCTTGTTTGATTTCTTTATTTCTGCATTAAGAGTACAGTGATTTTAATACTATCCAGTGTCTCACGACTGATGCAAGATTGGTGAAATGCATATTATTCATCTGCCATGCTGGGGTGGCTCTCAGCTCCTATGTATTAATAAGTTTACATATATTTAAGGTATTGTTCTGCTTCCTGGTCAATGTTATAAAAGCAGCAGAATATTCTACCAGAAAATGAGGAAATATTTTGTGCCCTGGACTTTTCCCTTTTGTAAATCCCCTTTGCAGACACACTTAAAATATCTGTCATTTATTCAAAAAGCTGGACTGTTTTTAAGAAGAGCTCTGTGCCTGATACGCTGCATTTACAGCTGGAAAAAAATTAGACCAAATAATTTTCCTCCATTAACTTATTCCTACTGCCTGATACGCTGCATTTACAGGTCATTTAAAGCTGGAAAAAAATTAGAGCAAATAATTTTCCTCCATTAACTTATTCCTATATGTTTTTGCAACTCCTGTTACAATTTATACCGTGTAAATCAGAACACAACATGCACCACACAATGAGATAAATGGATTACCTGTATTATATGGGATTGGCTTTCATTTCAAGCTGGTATCCCTACAGCTGAAATAAGGGATGTTTTCTGTTTCATAATGTAAATATTTGTTGATTTATTCAAGGAATACAAAGAAGTCCTGCTGGCTTGAGTTATCCTGTTCATTTCCACCTCTTCTGCTGTTAAAAAGATCCTCAGCTGGTCCAGGCTTGACTCATTTATGGACTAGGACCATTTATCAGGATGGTGGGAGTACTTCATAACTACTCCACCAATGATGGAAAGGATGAGGTCAGTCCTCTCAGGTAGTTAAAAGTGGTAGTTATGAGTATCAAACTCATCAAAAGAGTTACAAAGCTGTGTTTTGGTGCTCAGCACTGAAAACGATGGAGCTGAATTCTCTTCTTTCAGAAATGTCTACCACTTCTTATTCACAATGAAGTCTGCAGCAAAGATTTTTACTCAAAAAAATCAAGTTAAAACTATGAAAATAAACTAAATACAAAACCTTGCCAATTGTGTTTCAGGATACAAATTTAGCCCAGAGCCTCACGGACTTCTTTCTTCTTCAATGTCCCTGGATTTTTCCCAAGGGAAGGAACAGGGATGCAGTATTTTTTTCCCAAATAGAGAAAGTGGGGACACTGCAGCTGGGTAGGAACCCTCCAGACCCACAACTCTGGTGGAACAGTGCAGCACCACGGGGAGAGAGCAGCAAATTACTTGGGGATGAGAAACCCCTTGGGGTGCTCTGAAGGAGAACAGTCAGGAAGCAGCTGCCTGATGATGGGGAGCAGGTTACACACAGCGGTAAGAGTAGTGTGTTTGCTGCATTTAACTGGGGGGAGGTACATTTCCAACAGTCCCAAATCCACTTGGCTTTTTCATATGCTGACAAAATTCTAAAAAAACCACAGGAAGCCAAGCAAAAAGTTCCTGTGAATTCTGTAAGTCCTCACCCCATTTTCTAAATCTGACCCTGATGCCCTTGGAGGAAAAATTTGAGTGTGTGAGTTGTGGGAGTAATTTCCCATTTCTATCCATCCACTTAGATTTTCTGCATCTGAAAAATCTGCATTTCTACATCTCCCTGCACTGAACAGACCAGACCATGTGTGGGTTTTTTCCTTTTAGACTGAACCATGTGATAACTCAAGAGATAAACGCAGAAGTGCGGGTTCCTTTCACAAATTGCTCACAAATGATGAGTAGACCATTATGGGAAATCTATTAGGGTGATATGTAACAGAGATAATTTATCATTAATAATTCATCTGAAAAAAAATAAAAATGGGTATGTCTAATTTTTGTATGGTGTAAGTAGTTGGGTAACTGAACCCAGTTACCCAACTTTTTAATTCTACCCCATCCAGGGGAGCTAATAATGTGCAAGTGTTGCCGTATAAACACATTTTCAGGAATTTCCTGAGTTGTTGAGAAAATAAGCTCAGCTATCAGACTTAAATGTGTTCGACTTCTGTCTCAAAAAATGTTAGTTTATTTACTTTCTGCATTTCGCAGAGCTGGAACTCAGCTCTGTTATGCCCAGAGTCAGCATCGTGTCCCATGCAATGTCCTTTGGACCTCCTTGCCTGCAGGTGACATAGGAAAGACTTTCAGGGCCTTTTCACTGTGCAGTTTTTTCTTGCTCAGCAGGCAGACCTGCTCTGCACCATGAAGATGTCCAAGTATCAAATAAAATAATAAAAAAAAAAGCCCCAAAACCTAGCATTAAAAAAAAAAAAAAAAAAAAAAACAACCAAAAAAAGATTATGAACTGATAAAATGGGTACATCTGCTGGGTTCTAAAAAGAAATTTATTGCCTTAGGAAAAGTCACTCAGGTTTCGAAGGACATTGAGATCATTTATTGCTTCTTGCCTCTAAGTAAAACATGTTTTATAGTGTCTTCCTCTTTCCACCTATTACTTCTTAGTGGGAACTGGGAGTCAGCTGATATTTACAGGTATTAACTATTTCATGAAAGCAATGGTTCTTGATCCCTCCCTTTGAAATCTGATGGGATTCACTGTAACTTAAGTAGAAACATGGACAAACAAGATCAGAAGAGACAGTTGACCTCCAAAAACATTGTGATAGAAGAACCTATTTTATTCAATGCCGCAAACCAAAATGATTTTCTGAAAAGGAACAATACTGAGATTTAGGAGATGTGTTTATGTTCCTGGGTCTGCCATAGCTCCCTGTGACCCAGGTCAAGACATAAAGTCGGTGCTCCTTGTGTTATAAGACAGGTAATGACCTGTGTAGATCATTAAGACAGGTAACGACCTGCTCAGTCCTCTGCAACACCTCTCCTTACCCAGCATGGATTCAGGACATTTTCTTACTTTCCCTTGCACAGTTCATATAATTCAGCAGATCCCTGGCGTCAGATGTTGGCCACGGGGCTCCCACCATTGACTTTATGGAGATGATATGCAGAGTTTTTTAGTAGCTGAAGGATGCAGTGGAGGCCAAAAAGCATTAGTGGGTGGAAAAAGTTTTGGCAGATGTGCTGATGTTGCATTTACTGGCACCAGTCAGGATCCAGCCTCCAGCACAGACATTCTCCCACCTGCTGGGTCCAGGGAGCTGGAAAACTCATGCTGTCCTGACCTTACCCTAAAAACTTGTTACTGGCCAGGTCATGAACAGGATACTGGGGTAGATCGGGCTCTGGTCCAACCCCAAATTACCTTAGGTTCCCTCTCATCCTACCATGGGGCTGTTGGAGGAACATGCCTATTTATTGCTTGTTTAGTGAGAGTTCTCCCAAAGATGGAGGAGAGCACATGGAGATCCCCTGGCCAAGGGATCTTCAGATTCCTTAGTACTCTGGCAGAGGCAGTTGTGACACTGGCCATCCAAGGAGCGACGTTGTGTTCCTCTTAGCTGATGTCTTGGGCTGCTAATTGTGTACTGACCAATGCAGCCTTTGAGCAGGAAGCCTTTTCAGCAGAATAAGGTCAATTAAAACTGTGTGCTCTAAGCTGGGAGGACAAATCGCCATTAGTTCTAGATGTCCATTTCTGTGATGTCAGAAGAGCATGGAGCATAACTTGTAGCCTGTGGCTTTTACGAGGACTTTTTAAAAAGGGGACTTCCATGTAGGAAGTAAAAATCTGAAAGTTTCAATGTTTTGGGGAAAAAAAAACCTGGAAGGGAAAAAAAAAATAAATTAATTGAATATTTATAATGGCTCCAGCTGCAGATTGAAATCACTGCCCTAAATGAAGTTCAAGGGCAAGTAGGAAGGAAGATTTAAGGGGCATTATTGCTGTCAGTAATACGTGAGTGGTCAAAGAGCAGCTATGGGTTGAGAGAGATTCACATCAGAGAGGGGCTCATTATTTGTGTCTTGTGTTGCAGCTTTTCAGATGCTTTCGAACATCTACCTGTTCTCACAGGGTGCTGCCTACTCCCTGCTGCACGCAGGGCTTGGAGAACTCCATTGAAATTCATGTCTTTCTTGAGGCTGTTCTACTGAACTCTTGAAGAAATGAACCCAATATCAATTATGCTTTTCATCCTCACACACACAACAATATCACAGTGCTTTGGTAGCACTAAGATCTGGATTTTACAGGGATCTGGTAGGTTAAAGAATTGCTCACAGACTATTATTTTTTCTTAATGACTCGATTTTTCTTCGGTGGTTTTGAGTGAAAATATGCAATGAATATTTCAAAGCAAGCCATAGGATGCTGCAGCCTGATGGAGCATCCTTTTACATCACTCTTCTTCATAGAGATTGTAGCACTTTGGTTGGTAAAAGTTAATTGTTAGGTGTACTCCTCATACCAGTTGGGTGAATTATTGTAGCAAGCTGCCATTTGTTTCCAGGGTTTATTTCTCATGATAAATGTAAATTACTGTTTAGATTGATGACACCACCCTGGCACCCTCTTCTTCAATGTCAACCTTAGGGCAGCCCTGGGAATATTGCTGCTGGTTACTGGGGCATTTCCAAACGTTCAGATGTTTTGAGAATGACACTAATCAGAACTGCAGCTTTCTTCCATCAGGGTCTCTTTCATTTTTCAAGAGGTGGCCAAGAAACATGCAGCATGATTGCTTTCACCCTAACGATGCTATCTATTAAAATTCTTTATCTTTCCATTTTGTGAGTACTACTTTTTTTTTTTTTCTCCTGACAATGTTCATACAATAAAATGTGAGTCTGCAGTGGGACTTCAGACCTTTTTAAAATGGTCTGTTCCTGTGTCAGGACTTGTAATTGGGGGGAAATACTTTGCTCTGTACCTAAACTGTAGAAGCCACATGTATGTCTGGGTTCCCACGTCTGCATGTACTTCTTTGTCCCATGCTGACCCACAGAAGGCTCGGCTGTCCACCTTGCCTTTCCCACTTTGCACACAATTTCTGAGTGAAAGCAAAGACAGGACTTCCACTGGCCATGGACTGATCATTCTAGGGTCTTAAAAACAGCATTGCAAAGCTCAGAATGGTGCTGTCACAGATGAAAGGCTCTGTGGCAGCTACACTAGAAACCTACCAGTCAAATAAATTCACATTTGGGTCATTGATTTGACTGATTTGGGATTTAAAAAAAAATCAAACAGTGGGCACTCTTCCACACAGCCCAATGAAGATGTGCCTCACCCTTTATAAGAGGGAAAGATGACCCTGCTCTAGCAGGGGTTGGACTAGGTGATCTCCTAAGGTCCCTTTCATCCCCTATAATTCTGTGATTCTGTGAAGGTGTACTACCCCCTTAGCTTGGAGAAGGTTTGCAAATCCCTTAACATACATAAAAGAAATAAGACGACTATGAAAGCCTCCAAGGACAAAGACTAATCTGTGAAGATACACAGGTTTGGAGAGAGGGCAATGCCAGGAAACACCTCAAGACTTTTTCCAAACTCTGAGCAGGGCTGGAGAGAAAACAAATAGACATCTGATCCCAACACAAACAACGGAAGGGTTGGATCCTGACTGTGCTTGCAACCCTAATTATGGTGTTTTTTCTAATATTTTGCTTGGCAGCATTTAAATGCCTTTTTTTGGGGATGGAGTCAGCCTTTGTCACACTGCTCAGAAGGTCTGAGCTGTGCCACAGCCGGGGAGAGGGAGCAACTCCCACCATGCACGGGCAGAGCCGAATCTGGGCCGCAGTTATTTCATATAGAAATGCGTGGCATTAATCAGCTGGTATTTAATTAATAGAAAAGATCTGTCCGATTAAATTTCAATTAAGCCCTCGTTTGAAGCAGCGACGTTGCGGATGTTGTTGGACAACCTTGCTGACCACACAGATGGCAGGCAATGAAAACATTAGCCAAATATTTTTACCATGACTGGTTGAACAAAATAAAGTACATCCATTATAATGAGCCCTGTTGTAGCACAACCCTCTGTAGTACAGCAAGCAGAGAAATTACTACCATAACAGATTGCTGCTCACTCTAACATATGCTGACTCTCCAACTTATTCTGTATTTCAGTGCACAAACAAGGATATACAGATGAATTAAGTTCTTTGATCTGTAATGAGTGCCATGAATCCACAGGTTCCCAAAGAACAGCGTGGAGAATCCAGTAGTTATTATATTATTCAAATAATGTGATTTTTTTTCTCCCTCCCTTCTCTGTCTTTCTGGATCCTTATTAAAATACCTTTCCAGAGGAAAGTTATTAAAGAGCTTATTTGGCTAATTCATCAATAAGAAAACAGCAGCCAAAAAAAAGTCCCCCTCAGTACTTAGGCACACAGACATTCATTGCAGTGACAAAGCTTGAACATAATTACTTAGCTGTGTGATGTGATGACTTTATTATACAAATCTGAATTAATCTGACTTTGAAATGACAAATTTCACAGCAGTTTATTAGGATATGACTGCTAAATGACTGATATGACAACGACATGTGTAGTAATCATAACCTCCTAATACAGCTGTTCTTTTTTATCCCCCAGATGTAGCCCTCATCATGATGCTTCAGTGGATTCCAGGAATCTAAAAAAATTTTACTGTATTGTCTGATTATAAAAAAAAAAAAGCTGTTAGCAAGTTTAACACAGTAGACCCACTACACTCTACTGTGAAACTTCACTGGTGGGCATTGATGTTCAAAGTATTGCTACGAGGCTTTACAGTATAATTAAACAATAACGTTAATAAAATAAGACCCTGACCCAGCAGCAGCCTTTACCACTGGTAGGTAAATGAAGGGCAACGCCATTTACTCTTGAAGTGAGCTAAGAGCATTGCTGAAGTATGTTGTGATATGGCCTGGAGGCCTCAGCCAACTTGAGAAGCCCCTACTGCTCTGTCCAAACTCTCTGTGTGCTGAAGAACTGTTGTAAAGCCAGAGCAAAGCCTGAAGGCAGAACGAGAGCAGGAGAATTCATGGTCCTCAGCCTCCTTGGAGCTGTCACCTTCTTGCTCTGAATGGTCCCAATTCAAGGATGTCTTTGGAGACATTCAAAACCCTCCTGGATGCTATCCTGTGCAACCTGCTCTGGGTGACCCTGGTCTGGCAGGGGGTTGGACTGCATGATCTCCAGAGTTCCCTTTCAACCCTGACTGGTCTGTGATTCTGTGATAAGTCAGCTGACATGTTCTTCTGGACATCAGTGGGTGACAGCTTTGGAGGTGGTCCTTCCTGAGAGGGTGGAGATATCACCCCTACCCTGTTCTTTGTCTCCCCTGTTCTTTGCCCTGGAGAGGGGGTAAAAAGGAGAAGAGCTAGGATAGCACAAGCATGAAAATCCCTAGGTTTGATCTAACCCAGATCTTTTCAGACTGATCTATCTGAAAAGGCCTAGTCCTAGTTGGACCAGTCCTCTCAAAGGCAACATCCCTTCCAGTCTCCCATTGTTAAAAACATCTTCTGCAAATTGGAAAGAATAATCTTGTGGCTCCAAAAGAGCTCGTCTACCACTCACTGACAGAGAAGCTGCCATCTGTCCTGCCCATTCCTGCTGCCATCGCTGACTCCTCCTCCACCCTGGATATCTCAAGCACCACATTTTGGATGTCATGCCATGTTGGGGTGCACCTCGTATGGAGCATCCACTGAAGCAGCCCTTTGGGCATCACCAGGGCTTTGCAATTACAGCAGAAGAAATCTTCTGTGCAGAGCAGACACAAAACCTCTAATTATACCAGGACTACTTCAGGGGAATTAGTTCTATATTTAGTTGAAATTTTCATTGCTGCTGTACCTGTAAAAGAGTGTTAGTATCCTCATTATTCAATTAGACAGATACACTGGCAATAAAATATTCATTTTTTGCAGCAGAAGCTGAATGATATTTCCTTGAATACCTGCAGACATATTCCCTAATTGTTGCCTCATATATCTTAACTGTATTATTTCTGATTCGCAAGTGTAAATAAATGTACTGCTTGGGATGATCATATTTCACACCAATTTATTTGAATGACATTAATGAGTTCTCTCTACCAGCGAGACCTTGCTTTGAGAGCTAGGCTGTGTTTTGCTGCCCATAATTTAACAGAAGACAGTTTCCTACCATCATATATTAAAAATAAATAAATAAATAAAAATCAGCCAGGGTAATGCCTGAAAGGCTTTAATTTTGTTAGTTATTTGCATTCCTCAGTTATGAGCCTGTGACATCATTAACAACAAAATTTTATTGAAATGTTGGAGATTTGGAAGTGATATTGATATATTTGAAGGTTACAGTTGCTAACAAGCCCCACTTTGTTGTTGGAAGGATTCCACAGTTATGGCAAGTTTAAGATTGAAATCCTGGAAGCCACAAATGATGACATTTGTCCAGTTTCAAAAAAAAGAACGTATGTTGAAAGGAGGAAGAGACGTGTACACATTTCATTTACTATACATGGTATTTCTAAAATATTGCTTAATTGTTGCCCAAAGACTTCAGCCAGATTCACACTTACAGTACCTGGGCAGCCTATTCCAAGGTTTGACAACCCTTTCCATGAATAAATTTTTCCCAATATCCATCCTAAACCTCCCCTGGTGCAACTTGAGGCCATTTCCTCTTGTCCTATCACCTGTTCCTTGGGAGAAGACACGCAACACCCCCTGGCTACACCCTCCTTTCAGGGAGTTGGAGAGAGCAAGAAGGTCTCCCCTCAGCCTCCTTCTCTCCAGGCTGAACACCCCCAGCTCCCTCAGCCTCTCCTCACAAGACTTGTGCTCCAGACCCCTCACCAGCTCCATTGCCCTTCTCTGGACACTCTCCAGCCTCACAATGTCTTTCCTGTCCTGAGGGGCCCAAAATTGGACACAGCCCTCGAGGTGGGGCCTCACCAGTGCCCAGTACAGGGGAACAATCACTGCCCCAGTCCTGCTGGCCACACTGTTCCTTATACAGGCCAGGATGCTGTTGGCCTTCTTGGCCACCTGGGCACACTGCTGGCTCACATTCAGCCAGCAGTCGACTGACACCCCCCAGGGCCTTTTCTGGCAGGCAGCTCTCCAGTCACTCTTCCCCAGGCCTGTGGGGTTCATGGGGCTGGTGTGACTCAAGTGCAGGACCCGGCGCCTGGCCTTGTTCAACCTCAAAGCATTGGCCTAGGCCCATTTTTGAGGGCCAGGGCCTCAAAGACCTCTGAGGAAGGGAGTCTAAGACAGGGGGGATTAATTGCCCTCTGAAAGAGACTTTTTCTCCACTTTGTGGTTGGTCATTTAGCCTAAACCCCTGACTGCTAAAATCTTGGATGTTAAGGTAGCACAAGATCACTCTGCTTTTTCTGCCTTCTGCACTACCCTGTCTCAAAGGGTGTGATGGTAAGTACATTAAAGACTGGAAAGTACCCATATTTTACACTTATCAGTGTCTATATCTGCCACTGAGAGAGAGATTGGTTCTAAGGGGTGGGTTATGTCAAAGCCAGCATTTAACCCTGCCTAGCCACCTCATATCCACCGAGATCATAGAATGGTTTGGGCTGGAAAGGACCTTCAGGATCATAGAGTTCCAACATCCTGCCACGTGCAGGGACACCTCCCACCAGACCAGGTTGCTCCAAGCCCCCTCCATCCTGGCCTTGAACCCCTCCAGGGATGGGGCAGCCACAGCTTCTCTGGGCAACCTGGGCCGGTGCCTCACCACCCTCACAGTTAACAATTTCCTCCCCAGATCTCATCTCGGTCTCCCCTCTTTCAGTGTCAAACCAACAATTCTTCCCCAGATCTCATCTCAATCTCCCCTCTTTCAGTGTCAAACCCTTCCCCCTCATCCTATGGCTCCCCTCCCTGATCAAGAGTCCCCTCCCCAGCTTTCCTGGAGCCCCTTGAGGGACTGGAAGAGGCTCTAAGGTCTCCGCAGAGCCTTCTCTTCTCCAGGCTGAACCCCCCCAACTCTCTCAGCCTGTCTTCATAGAAGAGGTATAAATCCAAAAGCAGACTAGACCTCCCTTGATGGACCTGCAAGGTTGTTCCTCTGACGTTGTTTCTCAGTGGCATTTCCGCAGGGCGTCTGCATCAACATTCGGTGCCACCAGCCTGCCTGCTGAAGCATAGTATATTCTCCACTTTATATTCAAGGCAGCTGAGCGATTCTCCTTCCTTTGAGTGGCACGCTGCCACCCATACATTACGGAGAGAGCAAAACTCCAAGGAAGCATTGAAGCTAACCATACATTACATGCATGATGGGCTTACCAGATGTCATTTCTTACATTGTTATGGTTTCATAAACTACACTGACATTGTCATTATGCTCAGAAATTTGATCCCACTCTGCTGTTCTTAAAATGGATGATTCTGAAGGTTGTTGCATTAACAAATAAGAGTTTGCAGGAAGGAGGATTTGCAACAGGGGCTTGTGAATGACTGGGTTATAACATTTCCTGGAAAATGGCATGACAATTGATTCATTGCTGGAGACAGTAGCAAAAAAGGCAATGCTAATTCAAAGGTTAGAAGATCCATAAAGCTTTAAAAACAGATTTATTACAGTAGGTGGACTTATTTTGCTCAGAAACTGGAATTGCAGCTGTCTCCCCTGTATTTATGAGACATTTAATTAATCAGTCATAATAAATATATTAAAAACTAAATCCTTCATATTAAGCTCTGCATTAGTCTTGGTGCCTTCTCCATTGTGGCTTGTTTGTGATAGCAGACCAATTCGTTTCAGATACATGAAGAGGGATGAATCCTCTCTGGCAGAGCTTGTGGCCAAGAGCACCCAGAACTTGGGGGAAAGGGAAAAAAGAAACAAGGGGATTATCCTTAAAGTAAAGGGAAATGCTGTTCTTGTTGCCTTACAGTGTGGAAAGGGGAGCTCTGGATGGGGAGAGTTGGGCAGGTGAGACCACAAGGAGTGGTAACTTGGGGTTGGTCCTCACCAGGAATAGTGAGAGTGAAGCAGGAAGTATGAAGACTCTTTGCTAAGTGGTGTTTACTGGCACCACAGCCAATCATAGAATCATTGAGGTTGGAAGAGACCCTTGGGATCATTGAGTCCAACCATCTACCCTACTCTACAAAGTCCTCCCCTACACCATGTCCCTTAGCACTGCATCTAAACTGCCCTTAAAATGGCAGCTGGAAATTAAGCCTCGCTCCAGTTTGACATCACAGAAACCTCTGTCAACCCCCTGACCTCCATGGAGACTAGAGCTACTCAGCATCACTAAAACCAGACCGGGATGGGATGCCTGGAGGCAGTGGGCAAACTCGGAACAGCCACCAGTTTCTCAACAGCCTCCTCTTTAAACAAAGCAGTGATTTCTGCAGGCCCTTCCCCATTTACACAATCAGGGAATTTAGCCTTGTGCCCTTCCAGGATGACAAGTACTGGGTATTTTGGGTTCTTTATTCTTATTTTTTTCCTTGACTGGTTTCCTGCCTCCCTCATCTCACAGTGAACACACAGAGGACCGTGACAAGAAGAGCAGAGACAATAGAGGACCCCAACAGCATACATTATTAACCACGTCTGCATTCTTTAGTGTCCTTGCTGCTAAAATTAACACAGCCCGCGTGGCTCCCTGCCAAACCCAGCAAAGCGCGTGTCATAAACAATACAGGTGGGCGCAACGGCCAACCATTTGTCTGCTCCTGTAAATGTCCCATCACGTCCTTCCCAGCTTAATAATGCCCCAGCTAACTAAACTGAGTGATAGTTTTCACAGGCTAATAATGACTCATTTGTCACAAAGTCTGACTTTCATTTGCAATAGCATCGTAAATTTTCTGCGGTATATGGCATGCTTGAAAAGCAAATCCTTTTTTTTTTTTTTTTCCCCCCCCTTTTTTCCATAGTTTCATTTAGGCTTTCCCCCCCCCCCCCAGGTGTCCAGACTTTGAAAAACCTTTCTTTTTTTTGAAAAATTTAGAATTTTTTTTCAAAGAAAAAATTTAAAATATTTGAAAAATCATCCTACCTTAAGACAAGCACAGAAAAATCTCTGTTGTCTAATCAAGATGGACAGGATAAGCCCAGTAAACTCTTTATTTTGGAAATAATACAGACTTGGGTCTCTTAGGCAAGCTGGAACACAAGAAGATACCAAAGTACCAAAATAGGTAGTAAAAAAAAAAAGGACTTACATCCCACTTTTTCACTCCTTTCCATCCCGCTTTGCTCCTGAGGTTTTACTGGGGAAAAGCAGCTTCATGTTTGTTTTCTGTTGACTCCCAGCCTTCACCTCTGAACTTGATCACCCCCTTAATAAACCAGGTGATGTTTCCTTCCTCCCACTCAGCTGTTTCCTCTGTAGAGGCCACCACTCGTTGCTCCTCCAGGGCTTGTCCCAGGACATATATCACTACTTTGCTCTGCCTTCAGGTCTCCATATGACTCTTAAGGGACACCTCTCTCCTCATAGGACCTGTCCCCAGTTAGAAATGGAGGAGGATCCAGTAATGTTTTTAGGTTCAGCTGAATGTCCTACTGTGTCCAGCCTCCATGGTGGAACAATAGCACATCCTGGCATCCCCTTTTCCCACATATCCCAGTTTAAATGTGAAGGAAAACTGGGTTCCTAAGCCAGCTGGGAGACAGGTCTTCTCCCAGCTTGTCCCATCACTGGGTGATGCACAGTACAGGACCTCCAACATGTTGGAGGCCTGTTGATTTTGGCAAGTGTCCCACCTGGCCAAGAAGGAGGTGCAGGTAGTGAGGGTTCATGAACCCTGTAAACCAATACTACTAAATTCCACGTGTGTATGTGCACCAAACACAGAGGAGTGTCCCATAAATCATATAATGAAAAACTGCAGGAGGTTCATGGATACTTGTGCATGAAACAGAAAATGTTATCAGGAAATAACATAGAATCATAGAATCATAGAATGGTTTGGGTTGGAAGGGACCTTAAAGATCATCTATTT